AGGTGTAGTAAGACGTGACTAAGGGAACTTAATGGCCATGGATGGGTAGCAGCGTTCCTCATAAAACATCACCAAAGTCTAACTGCAGCTGCTGGCTCGCCTGTCAAGCGTGACGACTACTGGTGAAACCTCCCTTATGGGGGAGACCTATGTTTAGCTGTGGACAGTTAACGACTGATATGATGATAATATGATAAAACTAAAAGAAATCTAACTGTAACCCGGGACTGTAACCGTATTAATTAAAATAAAACATATCCTGCGTCAGTCTAGCGTATGATCCATTAGATACGTACTAATTATAGTCCACCGGAAACATCCAAATATCTAAACATTGAAATATCTTTATAAGAGCAATCAGAGCCTACTTTTGAGAGAGAGGGAAGGATTGTTTTTTTTTATTAGGTGAAAACCTGTGTTATCGGCAAACATTGAGGGGCACCAGTGAGGGATAAGATGAAGATGAAGTAGGTCAGTTGGCCCATCGCACAATGGAAAATAGAGGTAGTTTTTTGATCAAAAATCAATAACTTTCTTGTTTCTAAAGACAGATTGGTAAAATTTTATATTTACAAAAAGTGGTATATAAGGCTTCAAATGAGAAATAATTTATGGATTTATCTTAATAATATATATATCAAATAGAAAATAATAAATTTAAAAAATGAATAATTTAATTTCTATATTCTTGTGTTATTATTTATAATACGAAAAGTAGTAATTATATTATTTAAAATATGATAAAATTAGTGTAAACAAAATAAAAGCATAAAGTAGTTAATTATTCAAATAATTACTTCACTTAAAAAAAAATTAAATAACGATCAGTAACATGAAAGTCTGGTACATTTTCCTTCATAGTTCCTTCAAAAGCGAAAAACACTTTTTAAAATTGCATTATTTATTATTAAACAGATTTCATCATATTTCTATTAATAAGCTAGTATAGTATTTTAAGAACGTATTACCTAAAAGTTAGAGGAAAGTGATATTTAAAGAAATTTCTATCTCAGCTTTTTCATTTGGTTCTAAATGTCACTTTGCAGCAACCTTACAAAAGAATAGTTTTTATTATACTTGACAAACTTAGAGATCTAAGTTAAATTCAATTACTTTCAAAGATCTAAGGTATCTTAATCAAGTTCTTCATATTTTTCTATATGTTTTTTTCTTTAATGCTGGTAATGTATGAAGGAGTATAAAGAAGGTTATGAAAAACATCTTTATTAGTAAGTAACTGCTCTTGAAGATTTTCTAACATGACGTAGGCGAATTTTTATAATGCTTCTTCTGAAAGTTAACCATTATAAAGCAAAGCAAAATGTGTTCTGATATTTTTTCCATAAATTAATTTAATTTTATAAGTATTCAAATATATTCTGGTGGGGGAAAGGGATTGTTAGTAATGGAGACTGAGAATCCCATTGCTAGCAATATACCCAACCAGGTCGACCTCCTCGCGGTTCTCCCTAGAAACTATCATGGTTAATTCTTGATGAATTCATCATGATGGGCTAACTGGCCTGTTTTCATTCTCATCTATCACCCTTCACTGGTGCTCTGCAAGCGTATACCGTTAGCGTAGGTAGCGTACCATACCATTTTCAGCCATAAAAAAAAACATATATTCTGGTAACTTCAATATTGTAATTACCCAGTTTTTCAGTGTCAATCAATCATTAATAAATGTATCAACTTATTATATACCTTTTTGAGAATGAGGGTGGTGTAAATTTTGTAGATTACATTGTCACCACAAACAGAGTTTATAAAAAAAAGAATAACCTGTATCTATGAATAATTGATACAATGAAAATGGAAAAACACTTTACTGATATTATTTACATTTAAATACACTATAGTGCGATCTTCTGCATTATGCACTCAACATATATTTTCCTCAATAACTTGGGAAACTGCAAATATCCGCAGCAAATGTTTATGAATGTTATTCATAGATACCTAGGCTACAAACTTACACTAAATATAAAGTATGTGAAAAACTATTAAAACTGGATGAATACAAATAATTATAATTTTCTTTTATTAAATTGTTTAATTTATTAATATAAAAACAGAATAACATTATTAAAAACATATAGATATTTTAAATTTCCTATAAAACGAGCTTTTCAGAAACATATAACACTTCATACTTTCGTACAAAGTAATTTATAAAACGTAAACTTTAAGACCATGAAATTAATAGGGTGGAAATTACCTCGGAAGAATAACACAAACATTGTGGCATTAAAACATATATTAATTGTGTAAAATGTTTACATTGTAGTAAAATTTAACTATTGAACTATCAAATAAAATTAAAGAAATGTAAAGTAAAAACTACTTCGGTAAAACCATTTTTGGTTGATATTTTGCTGTTATTTTCCATAGTGAATTGTTACGAATTTAATAATTTATTAACCAAGATATCGCCACGATATATAAATATTGCGGTGTGTGCTCCAACATAGAATGGGTCACCCCATTCCTTTCTCGTGGGTGTAGTAAGAGGCGACTAAGGGAGGGCGAAGGATGGGCAGCGGCGTCCCTCTTAAAACATTTCTAAAAGCTCAACTGCGGTTATTAACCCGCCTGCAAGCGTGGCAACTACTTTTTTTATGGGTGAAAATGATATGGTAACCCTGCCTGCGCTAACGGGATACGCTGGCGGAGCACCAGTGAAGGGTGATAGATGAGAATGAAAACAGGCCAGTTAGCCCATCATGATGAATTCATCAGGAATTAATCATGATAGTTTCCAGAGGAAACCACGTGGAGGTCGACCTGACAAGGCATATTGCTAGTAATGGGGCTATTTAACCCCATTACTAATAATCCCTTTCCCCCCGCGTAGCAACTACTAGCCAAAGTCTCCTTATGGGGAAGGCTTATGTCCGGCAGTGGACAGTTAACGGTAATAATTACCGTTGGTGGTAATTAGACCCATTTACTAACAATCCCTTTTGGGGGAAGGATTGTTAGTAATATGTACATAACAGGTCAACATAGAAACCATTGTGATTAATTCCTAGTGAATTCGCCACGATGGGCTAATTGACCTGTTTCATCCCCAACTATCATCCTTCATTGGTGTCTGGCCACAAAACAGCCTACGTTATTAATGGATAAAAATAAAATAATAACCCTACCTGCGCTATATGTATTTACTAGCGAAGCATCAGTGAGGGATGAAAGGTGAGGCTGAAATGGTTCAGATCAGTATACGCTTGCAGAGAACCAATAAGTGGTGATAAGCAAGAATGAAATGTGTCAGTTGACTCACGTCAAAAATTTAACAATAATTAACTTTGTGACGTGAATAAAAAATATACCTTATATTTTTAGCAATGGGGTCGTTATTCCCCATTAATAATAATCTTTTTTCTTCCCACACGAGTTCTACTGCTGACTTAATTTTCTTCCAATGGAGGGTGTATTATTTCAAAATTTGTCAAATTTTTGTTACAGTACTAGGAATTTGCAATAAAAATGTATCTTTAAATTTCTCTTTATAAAATAGGTCACGATTTCACAAATAGATAGCACGTGAGACACGTTCCTTTAACATAATACACCTGTATCCGAATACTGTCTGCATTATATAATATTTATTCATACAGACTACACGATATAATATTAAAATAATGAAATTGCGTTCCATAAGAAACGACTTCAAATATGGAAAAACCAGTTATTTTGATTTAAAAACTAAACTATTAAACCAATTTTGATAACATTTCTATAGGACCAATCTGTACTTATATTCTAATAGAAACAAAAGAATTTTCCAAATCGTTTACGACTAACGGAGTTATAAGGTAACAAACAAAACAAATACAACCAAATTAAGAACTTCCTACTTTTTGAAGTCGGTTGATAACTGCACCAAAATGTGAAATATTTTTATTTATTTGTGCATTTTTAAATGAATTTAAAAAGTTCAAAGATGTATTGTGGGATTTGGGATTTTTGGAAACAGTCAAGCGTTATTCAAGGTTAGCTGGCGACAGCTTGAAACAAAAAGGTATTTCAAAATATTCTGAAACTTTTTACTGATATTATAAACGCATCAGTAGCTTCATAAACAGTATGTTGTTGTTATCCCCATCGCTGTAACAAAAAAGTCTTACTTTATTTACGAAATAAATAAATATTTGTTATAACAAATATTTATTTATTTCGTTGAATCTCAGTCGTGCATGTATAATATAAACATTGAATTAAAAAAAAAAGAATATACGAGAAAAACATTTATACATGTTATTTAAAGAATAACGTTTATAATAAAATTCCTTATACCTGTATAAAGTTGCATATAGCTATTTTTTGTTAATATTTTAAATTCTGTCCTCAAGAATATGACTGAGAGCATTTAATTTGGTGTTGTAGTTTTTGTTTGATATCGGAATAACAAACATATATGTAACACACAGACAGATAAAAAAACACTTTTAAATGTTTTAGCTTTCATTGCTCTTATTAAGATAGATACAATAAAAAAAAAACTTTACTAGGCACAAAATTATATGTTCATACAAAATGTGTAATTACAAAAGCAGATTTGATTTTACGAAAAAAAAAAAACATTGAGTTCAATCACAATAAAACCATATATTATAATTTAAAAACTAAACTTAACTGATTTTGTAAAAAATAGCTATAACTATTTTTACAAAATTGGAACGGACGAATCTGAAATTAATTAAAAAAATAGAATATTCCAAATTAGTTTATAAATTACGGAGTTCTAAGGTAACAAACATAAAAATAAATTGCAACCGATTTGATTTTTGATTAAGGACTTATTACTTTGTTTACAGATGGTTGAAAATAAAAGACAATCTATAAGATGCAAAAAGGGGGCCTTTTTAAAGTTTTCTTAAATATTTCCTATGTACGTACAAACATCCTCTAATTACAATTTTATTATCTATATATAGATTAGTATGAAGCTACTCGTATATTGCCGTTCGTAACTTAATTACATGTTGTTTCAGGGCTCCCCAACGACCTGTCGGTGTATTGGCACCAATACCCTTACAGTTTGGGCATGGTGTTCTGCAAATTAAGGGCCCTTATATCAGAAGCGTAAGTATCCCATAATTACCTATAAGTATCGTTTCGGCACTCCACAAACAATTAATTGAAGAAACATCTCATTTATAGAAGTTGATGTAAAACAGTTACTATGTATAACGATAAGTTAAGATTTTGTTTATTTGTGTAAGCTTTATTGTACATTTATATTTGAAAAAAAAAGGTCACAAAGAGAAAAAAATAGACAAAGTATATAAGTGGATTTATTGTTTGAAGGGATTACTTCCACTCAACTTTAAGAACAAGAAAAGTGAAATTATCGACATAACATAAAATGTAAGTTATGCAACATAAAATACATTTTCAATCGACTTAAAAAAAAGTGACGTCATAATTCTGTCAGTTGAAAATCGACTTGGAAAATTCTTTTTTATCTAAAAATATATACTTACAGATTGCTCCATAGATATTTAAATTTGTCAAAATCAATTCTGTAGTTTGGTTTTTCAATAGACATAGCTGGTTTTGTCACAACTGAAGTAGATTTTTTGTGGAACGCAATCGAAATTATATATTTTGGTTTAAAAAAAAATGTACTTTAATCGCAACAAAATTTGTATAGGTTTATCGCAAGGGCAATCTGTAACAAATAAATAAATAATTATCAAATATAAAATACAGTATTCGGTATTTTTATTATATTTTTACAAAATAAAATGAACGCGAATTGAGAGTGTATTACGATCTTGTGATATTTCTCAAAAGTATTATAATATTGGCAGGAGGCCTGACAATATAAATTCTTAAATACATTAATTTTATGAATATAGGCGAATATATCGTATCTCATGAGTACACAAAAAATTAAATTCTAGTATACGAGATAAAATTCTTCGGTCAGAATTGACGCATATAGACGATCCAATTATATTTTTCTATTTATTAATAAAAAAAATGTCTACAAAATATTCAAGTTATTTTTTTAATTGTCGAACGTGTAACATTTAATGGATAATTATATCAGCCGACGAAGATTACGTGTAACGAAAATGAGTAATTAATACATATATACATATCTGTTACGCTTGTCTCCCATTAGGGTAGGCAGAAAAAATGGAACGCTAAATGTTTGTGTAATTAATATCTTGATTCTTCTGCCAAACCAGTATAAAAATAGCGTTATGTATGTGTGTATGTATGTATGTATGTTAATATAATATTAATAATTAATATTAATATTAATAATAGTTTTCCGATTCTACTATTATTTTAAATATGAAAGCGTGTAAAAATGTTTGTATATTTGTGATTCAATCATGTTTAAACTGATTTGAATTGAATTTCGTATACGTATTTCAATGACATGTACCAAATTTCAATAATATTATGACATAAATTGGAAATTTAATACATGATACTTTATAAAGAGATGCGCGCTGAGAAAAATCTCGTATTAATATAATAATGTGAACCTTTTCATATTAAAAATACATACATAAAAACATATTTAAATGCCAAATTTTTTGGAACACGGGTATATATAAGAATAGCTAAATGATATTCATTATTGACCTTTTTATGACAGGGGTATAAGCTGAGTTTTGATGTAATGTTAATGTGAGCCCAGAAGTCGGCCTTTTTAAGAGAAGATTCTTTAGAAAGTATTTCCAAAAGAATGTTCTTAATTTATATTATTTTTTTGTCGTTAACTCCATATTGATGTTGTAAAAACACAAGTTACTGTTTTCTTTACTTGTATCGTATTAAAATATACTCGTATATATTCGAATTCACGTACTACACTGTTTAAATCGAATTTAAACAAATGGTAAGTCTGTTTTGTTAAAATCATCATAGTGATACTTTCTAAATTGAATTGGTAACAAACGGAACCATTTAATCGAATAATTGATTTTTTATTTTACAACTATAGTAGACCAGACTGTATTGTATTGTAAAGTCTTTATTGTACATACTTTACATTGGACACATTAAAAAGATTTAATATACAATGTACAATGAATAAGTCTACATCTATAGAAGCATCTCTTACAGCCAACATATTGTAGGTAATTGTATGTAGGAACGAAAAAGAGGTCAGCGAGTGATTGTACAGCCTTTCTATAACTAACCCCCCTCCCCCTCTTCTCATTCACTACTACAATATATCGAATATAATTTATGTAGTATATATATATATATATATATATATATATATATATATATATATATATATATATATATATATATAGTACATATATATAAGTAAGTTTAAGACATCCACCACCAAGCGACTATATAAGCGGCCCGTCCCGGCTTCGCCCGGGTGGACATTTTTACAACATTTTACATTTTTATCTGATCCTACCTAACTACCTATTTCATAGATGTGCCCACTAAAGTGGGGGCCCACTTGCCCCTCTCCCGCATCGCTAAAATAAGTGTGAATAACATGTACAACACGACAGCGTTATTTTTTCTATTTCTATGACTTATTAAATTCGTAATATCTATTGAATGGAATAGCCGATTTGAACAATTCAAAAAGTAATCTACATAAATTGAAACAGTTTTGAAAACAATATGATTTATTTGGATAAGGATTTAAACAGAAGTATGAATAAAATGGTGTAATTTTGGTCAGTATTTCTATCAACTTTTAAAATGTAAAAAGTGGTTATTGTGACATAACGATAATAATTGGACATATAGTATCGCGAAGTTTTTTATAGTTATTGATATTTTTTTCAATATTGTAGAATATACTTTTATTCTATCACCAATAGTTTCCGCAGTGCACGCGACGAAAGATATTTTATAGCATTTTTTTACACCTTGAGTTACGTTACTAAAGTTTTAGTATGGATCCCTAATCTTTTCTAACAATAAATATAGCCTATGTTACTCAGGATGAATGTAGCTTTATAATGGGGAAAGAATTTTTGAAATCGGCAAAGTAGTTTTGAGTTTATTCATTACAAACATACATACACACAAAAATACAAATCTTTCCTCTTTATAATATTAGTGTAGATTAATTTTCCCATAATACTAAAGGGGGTTAGGGCTGTGGCCCCTTAACACCAATTTTATTTATTCCAATAAATAAAAACTACATAAACAAAAACCTTTAGTTTTTCTTAATTAATAAATAATTACCAATTCTAATTGGATTTTCGTGATTCGTTTCTAATTGAATTTACTCCCATGCTGATCCCATACTAATCTTGTTAAGAATAAAATTGGTTTTTCGAAACGAGGAGGTTCTCAAGTGGTTTGTATTTTTTTTTATGTGGAATGCGATTACGACTCTACTTGTAAATCAATTTCGATAATTTGTTTAGGAATTATAAGGGTTATTCCTGTACTATTTTTACATTAGTTTTGTGCTAATTGATGCTACTATATTTGTTTACAAACAGATTTTATTGAAAAACAGAATCTACTTATTTGTAGTCGTAGATACGTACGATTATATGTTCTAAATTCAAATATTTTCAATCTAATGTATCTACAAAATATTTTATCCTTTTATCGGTGCATAGTCACGATTGATATAGTTGTTTTTTTTTTTTAAACTATATGAGGAATGGTACTTATCTAGAGTGTAATTTTTTTAGTGGTAGGGAAGCAAACGAGTTGATAGTCCACTTGTTGACGGACGGTCTGCCAATGGATAATGATCTCTGTCAGGTAGATCTTCACCCGGTTCCCTTGGATACTCATTTATCACCAGTCACTAGTGCCCTGCCAGTGTACACAGATAGCGCGGCAAGGTCACCATTTCATTTTCACCCATTAAAAAAATAGAAAGTGGCTATCGTCGCCCATAACACAAAATAATAGGTACTATTGTAGTACCCATGACCACTTGCAACATTAGAGATGCTACCAGAGAGATGTCAGTTTTTATTTTTTTAAATTTTGACTTAGGTATTCAGACTCGTTGAATATTTAGATTACTTAATATAATTTCGTTACTAATGGCCAATAATTAAAGTACGCAATAAAACAAGAGCTGTTGAGTATTTCTTAACGTAATGTGCTTTATGGCCGATTTTATTATACATAAGTTCTACTTAACGAGGTTTTAAGCTAAGGCAATATCACTTTGAATAAAACAACGTTGAGTACAATGCTTTCTCCACAATAAAGATTTAAACTTAGAATACATCCTTAATCTCTTAATTTTTCATTATTATCATGATAATGATATTTTGAGATGTCTTTTTTTGTAGATTGTTAATATAATAAAGTTAGTATTCAAACATTTTTTTTACGTGCGATATATTTTTTTTAATAGGTAACTCTGTCTGCCTTATTGGTATGCCCTGTCGGGGCACTAGTGAGGAGTAATGAACGAGGATGAAACATGTCAGTTGGCTTATAGTGACGAATACATTAAGAATTAACCAAGATAGTTTCCAGGGGGAACTGTGGGGGGGTCGACTTATGGGATATTTTTTTTTCAATGGATGATAATGGAATAGTAACCCTGCCTGCGCCATCGGTATACGCTGGCAGGACACCAATGAGGGATGATAGGTGAGAATGAAAAGGCAGGTCAGTTAGCCCATCGTGATGAATACACCTGGAATTCAGCACGATGGTTTTCAAGGGGGACCTCGGGGAGGTCGACCTGATATATTGCTAGTAATATGACTGGTAGTCCGCATTACTAACAATCCCTTTCCCCCCTCACCGATTGGATATATGGCCAGTAATGGGCCTGTTTGACCACATTACTAATAATCCCTTTCTACCCTTCCCGGTTAGGTATATCTATAGATTTTTCTCTGGACTTGTTAAACGTTAGCTTTTGTTTCAATTCACAAAAGGGGAAGCAATAAAAAATACATTTAACAAAAGATCCATAAAAACTAATCGAGAGTAAATTGGGCCATATTTATTGAAGGGTCTCACGGGCCTTTGATTAGCTTAGTTAATTATCGAGGCGGAAATCTTAAGGTCAGGGCCGGATTGTCCATTAGACAGTGTATGCATCTGCCTACGGACCCTCATTGGCTACAAGTCCCGCAACGTGACAATTT